CTACCATGTCACTTCAAGCTTACCGCTTGTGTGTTGCGTGGCTTGGAGCTATGTGCCGGCCGCCGGGCCATGGGGCGAACCCGAGCCATGCTGCAAAAACACACACACAACAACGAGAGCCTACGCAGTATGGGCCATGGAAACAATTGCCCAGTCAATGCTGCCAAAATTCCCGACGGGGGAGAAGGGGGGAGACAAGGGGAGTCGAGTTCCCTTACCCCTGTCCCCCAAGAATATTAGCACACGTCATTCTGGATGTCTCCGAGAAATTCCCAATCCTCGTCCCGCCCCTCAGAGACATGGGCGGATTCGCGGAAACACACGAGGAGGCCGCGGTGGTGGGTTCCATACGCCTGTGTGACAGGCTCCGCGAAGCCCGCCCACATCGTTCACAAACTTTGAAACAAACGTTGATCTAGAGAAATTGAAAAGAGGTCGAGAACAAAACGGCTTCCACGTAATCCTCGAGAAGGGTCAGAAGCCCCTCCGTTCTCGCTTGGCCTCCCTCCGAGGTGAGCTAATTCGGACGCGCCGCGTTGCACCGCCGGGGGACTTCCCATGTTCTCTCCCTTCTTCTTCCTCCGCCGCCCGCTCGGTCATGCGCCGTGCCGTGGTCCGCCCACTTCCCGCGGCTCTAAATTTGAAAAATGGGCGGCCGTCCTCGCCGCCGTGGTGGTTGATTGCGATTCGCGAGTCCCACTTACCTGGCAGATGGGGATGAGCCGAGGGATATGGTAGGGTAAACAGAGAGGCTCAGCGTCTTTGAGTATGAATGCATTCGTAACCTAGGCACTTAACAATCTTAAGTAGCATCTTAACTCAGCCTGGATGTCCACGTCGCCCTTAACCAGGCCTGCCCGCAACTCAAATAGAGGATCACCAAATGCTTGAACCCAATTAAGCAATTTTCGCAATGCCCTCCATGCCTCCACCTTCCGTCGCCACCGTGGTGGTTGACTGAACTGAATCTTCGCCCGTCGTGTACTCCACATCGCGTGTATCCGTACGATTGTCATCGCCGGGCAATCACGCAACCCAAATTTAGAAGCCTCCCTCGAGATACATGCCCGTCACGGCGAGCCCAATCGCCGTGGTGAAGGGGTACTTCTGCGGGAACCCCGGTCCGCCGTGCTCCGGCTCCAGCCCGCTGGTGCCGGGGTACAGCAACGAAGCCCATCCAGCCACCCAGTAAATGGACCCCAAGAAGCCCGCGATGCGGAACGACTCCTTCGCCATTTCGGCAGACGTGTTGGTTCGCCACGTGAAGAAGAGAGTTGCCATGCCTAAGATCAAAGAGAGCGTCATTGTCTGCGCATTGTGGAATCTGAGTGGTTGTGGTCAGCTTTCGCAGATAACGGAACGCAGACATGTAGGCTGACGGCATCGACTTTTTCTGTCGTGCGACCTGCCCGCACAGAAAGGTAAGATCACTCACTTGGCATGTGGCGGCCACCGCGGATTATGGATGTGCGTCTCATTCCAATCGGCCATGTATGCGCCAAACAGCAGCATGATGCCGTCGAGGGTAAGGAGGACGCGGCCGAACATGCTTGCGGGCCGATATCAATGTCTCGGCAACTTTGACTTGTCGCGGTTCGCTTCGATCAATTGTGTATGTGGAATGCTTCAATCGAGCTATCGTGAGTCTTAGCAGTTGTTGAGACCAAGCTCGGCACAATAATCAAGTAAATACAGTGGTGTGCATTCGGGGCTTGGGAGGCTCCTTTAACTCCTCACTTGTCCGCCAGACAGCGTCATCCGTTCATCAGAACGTCTGAAATGTGCAGAGTCGCGTCCTGTCTCGTTGCCGTGTCACGTCGACACCTGGTAGAGCGCCGCACTCCTCGTGCTCCGACTTTTACACGCGAGGAAGCCCGCCTTGACAAAGAAACTCAATGCGACTCGCTCACTTGGCTATAATAATCTCTGATTCAGACCCGGTTGAGTGATATCAATCCTACCTACCCATGTTCGTTCTCTGTTTTCCCTCCTCGTTGCCGGACTTAGGAGGAAGAGTGTTGGGGATCTCCGATGGGTTCCGGGCGTGCCGCCCTCGAGGCTTGCGGCAACCTCAGATGCGGCACGCGAGGAAACGCTCGGTTCCGGTCCGAAGAAACAGTGGTAAAAGTCGTTGTAAATGTGCAATTTGTGGTAAGGGATTGGAACATTGCACGTCAGTGCATATCGTACCCGTATCCTTAATTCTTTGAGGACTGGCTATCTAGAAGGCCGCAGGCTAGGGATCCGTCCTCCCCCACGAAGAGGACCCCGCCGTTTGTCTTTATCGCTCAATACTTGCTTTCAGGTTGCTCAGTGAGTATGTCCTCTGAATTGATCACTGTCTTGGTGAGCAAGTGATTGATTAATAAACTAGATGAGTACGGTAAGTGTAACGGGCTGCGCTCCGAGGGAATCCCGTCATGAGCCCCGTTTTCCATCTTACTCTACCTTAGCCGGTAGAATTACCACGGGCCGGGCGCATCCTGATTCCGGAATTTGCTCCGGTATTACAACACTTGCTTCGTACAGTGAAAGCTTAACACCACAACATTATGTATCTCGAAGAGATGACTTATATTTCATTTGAATGCACTGCCATAAACCATTACGAAAGCTGCAAGTTTTGGTTCGTATGCTGGCTTAACGCACGCTAGACAAGCGGCGTGCTCGGGCTCAAGAGGAAGAAAGTTTGCTGATCTCAGGGAGTCTCAATGCGAAAAATTGCCCCGCGAATACCAACCGCATTCAGCTATGTTGGCTCAGGTCAAACCATCCCCATGCTGCAGTTACGGTATGATGCCGTTGAAAATAATAACGTCTGGCGGTGAATGCTCGAACAGGTTCAGTAAAAGTGGAAACTCCATTCCTTGTATACATTCAGAGTCGTGGCATAGGGTTTAGTCTAGTCTCGATGTTTCGATTCGCTCAAGGAACGCTACTTGTAAGTGAGCCTTATTAGCATGGGTTCGAACATCACCACAGCCCATGTAGCTCGGACCTGAGGTTGGGGAAATGCTCGAGCGGCCGCAGCTAAAGGTCATGACGCCATTCCGGCCTCGAACATCACAAGCCAGAAGCTCATCCCTACACTCAGGGCCCCAAGCTCTTCTTTCATCGCGCACACCAGACGTAACCTTTTCCCACCTCCATCAAATAGCCTCCAAACTGTACACCCGCGAGATACCGGTCCATATCCTTCGACCGCATTAGCTACTAGACCTCGCTCTACATAACCATCCCCAATACGACCATGGTTCCCACCAAAAAGGTCCTCGTCCTAGGCGCAACAGGCAAGCAAGGCGCTGCCGTCGTCGACGCTCTCCTCGACCTCCCATCCAGCTCACCAACCCTCGAGATCCTCGCCCTTACACGAAGCCCCGAGTCCGCAAAGATCAAGTCCCTCATCGAGACGGCAAAGGCCAAGGGCGTCACTGTCACGCCCGTCAAGGGAGACCTCAAGGACTCCCCAGTGCCAGTCTTCGAAGCCCACCCACGCGTCGACACAGTCTTCATCGTGACTACCATCGGTAATGAGGACGCCATCGGAAAGGCCTGGGTTGATGCCGCCATCGACAAGGGAGAAGCCTCGCAGATCGTGCTGACGTCTGTTGACCGTGGTGGCGAGGATAAGTCATGGGTGAACCCGACCGATGTACCGCACTTCTTGCAAAAGCACGCCATAGAAGTGTATATCCGTGATCGTGCAGACGAGCTTGAGAAGAATGGCAGAAAGCTTCGCTGGACCATCCTGCGCCCGACGGCGTTCTTGGATAACACCAACCCGGGCATGTTTGGCAAGGTGTTTGCGGCCATGTGGTCTACGCTACCCGCCGATCGGAGCTTGCAGCTCGTCTCGGTGCGGGATATCGGACTCTTTGCGGCCAAGGCTGTTGGGAATCCTGAGCAGTGGGATCGGAGAGCTGTGTCGCTTGCAGGCGACAGTATCACTTACGCCCAGGCGAGAGAGACTTTCAAGAGAGTAGTCGGCAGCGATATGCCGCAGACGTACACCATCTTTGGTCAGGGCATGCTCTGGGCTATCGCCGATGTAGGCAAGATGTTTGAGTTCTTTAGAACTGAAGGTTATGGGGCGGATATTCAAGTCCTGCGGAAGGAGGAGCCACGTTTGCAGACTTTTGAGGCTTGGCTGAAGGAGAGTAGTGGGTGGAAGAACGAGATGAGCGGTCTTTGATATCTCGAGAAAGAAATGCAGCGATATGATGTGATGGATCTGGAAGTCAACAATTAATTTAGGTACTTGAGACGTATCTCGAACGACGTTACGCAACCAGTTTGTTTCCAGACCGCTATCAAGTACATTCGTTATCCAACTGTAATGTCGCCTTGAGTCGCCGAATGGAAGTCTGCGGAGGCATCGCGACAGCTTGCAAAGGTATCTGTCTTCGCCATCGATGGGACGTCGGATTGTAGACCGTTATACGAAAGAGCACTGGTTAATGAAAAAGGTTCAGGGATGTCGGAGAAGACAAGCCAAACTTTGCTTGATATGGTCATCTACCCGAAGTCATTATCAGGCTGGGTGACTAAGTGTGTTCAGGAATTTCGAAATCTTATCAAAGGGTGAAATTTGCTAACAAAAGATCTTCTCAGTGGATTGACGCATCATTTTGATCCTGGGTCTCTAAGCCTCGCCACATGCAGACATTCTACCCAATTGTGTTGTTTGCATCTATCATATGCGCATTGCAATTGGGTCCGAGACTCTGAAGCTAGATCCGAAGTTCTCATCTGCTCTCATTCAGGTTAGCAAGAAGCGCCAGTGAAATCAACAGCAGAGGTGGTGCATTGTTGGGGCGTAAGTCCAACGAAGGATCACTACCTTGTCTAGGCAGCCATCAAGTTCCTTCCGCGATCCTCCAAGGAGGCAAAATAGGCTCATATAAAGTATTTAAGGTCGCGGAGACCTTTTGCCACTTGTCGTCAATATCTTTAGAGGTCAGCGCCTTTCCAACAACTTGTGACGGTACATCATAGTCGATATGAGGCTACTGGCCTTTTCCTTCCTAGTCTCATCCGGTATCTTACTTGCGAGGGGTCAGCAAGAATCGCTACTCAGAAAAGCCCCGCCAGTAACCTCGGAAACAACGGCAGAGCAACAGAGTGCTGCCGCAGATATGGCTGACACGATTGAATACGACTTCGTCCCAGTCTACATGCTCACAAAGCTCACAAATGAAGAAGAGGAAGCTTTTACATCTGCAATCTCGGCTCTGGAAGAAGGCGTTGCCGAAGAAGACGACTACCTCCGGCCGAAACTCGTGCACTGGACCTCGGATGTAGATGGTACCGTTGAAAAGGATCTCTTGCCTATGAACAAGAAGCTTGAACTAGAAACCGCGTTGGAATCTCAGTCTCACTTCTTCTTCTATGCCGACCGTAAGAGTGTCGAGGACGGCGGAACTATCGTTGCGGGACACGACTGGGGCACCCTGTGCATCTCGAGGAGAGCGAACCAGAGATTCACCAAATTTTGCCAAGAGAGAGGTATTAGCCTCCCAACGGGTGGCTGGAAGAGCATGGATGCTATCATCGTGCAGTTAACAGAGGAGATCATCACCTGGGGCGTGACATGGGGCCGCCAGCCGGGGCCGTCCTGGAAATCAGCCTACCAGAATCTGGATCTTAACAACATGCAAATGTCTGAGCTCATCGGCATGCATGGCGAGGAAATCAACGTTCTGGAAGATTCCGATTGGGATGCGCAGACTTTTGAGAAGAGGCTCCGGGAAGAACTTGACAAGATCAAGGACGAGCTTTAGTACTTTGAAGATTCAAATCATGTAATAATTGAGACGCTAATGCTTATTGAGCCGTAAATGCTTGTTGAAAGTAAATGTGTTGATGCCCCAAATGCTTATCTCAGTTCTTGGAGAACCTTTGGGGGATCGGACGCCGGGACACGAGCAGGTGAACCGGCTCCCGTCCCCACTGCCAGCCTCTCTTGGGTCTCGTCTGCATCGGCGTAACTTCGCGCTTGTAGATGCCTCTCTTGATTGGCGAACGAGCCGTACCGCATGTCGCGAAGAATGAGTCGCCGAATGCCTGGCAGTCCGTGTCGGTGAAGTTTTGGGAAAGGTTGGTGCAGAGCTGGCTGTTGCTGCTGAGGATGCCGCCCTTTTGACCGCATAGCTTTTGGCCGCCTGTTTGTACCACGGAGTTGGTGATGTGTGTCCTGCAGCGGCATTGAATATCGCCCTGCTGTGCTTGTACCATGACGAACCTATTGATGTTAGCTGGAAATCGACGGGGCTCGAGGGTTTGGCGGGAGATCTTACATGATCGCCATCATGATGTAGGAAATAATGTTCTTCATCTTGTTAAAGTCGTTCGAGTTGAATGTAGTACTAGAGTGACTTGATTGTTTGGCTGCGGTCAAAAACCTCTGTGTATCGTGAGTACGTTGGCACTGGTGGTGATAAGCCTTTATGTACGAAGATCAAACTCCCGAGGCCACCTTGGCGCACGCGAACGACAACTCATGGCAACCTCAACATGCAACGAACCACTGTAGCAACCACACAGCGTAATGTGGGCGGGCTATCCGTGACTCGCGGCCTTCCACGAATTCTCCAGCTGTCAAGCGTCTGATGTTGGCCTCCTTGTGGCAGTAGCGCCTGACGGAAATGCCGATGGGGGATCTATCTGTGTGCTTGTCGTCTCATCTTTTTGGCCGCGCCTCATCAACCTGCCAGCCGCAGCCCGCAGGTAAGGGTTGATGAAGGGGGCTTGCAGGCCTGCAGCTAATTCTAGAAAAAGGGAAGGGGGAGTTAGGGAAGCATAACTTTTTCCCAAACGATCGTCCACGTTCGGATGACGTGTGTTCGTCAATGTCAGACGGAGCCGTTGGTGTTCCAGATCCTTGCGCGAGTTTCATAAAAAGGGGGCCACCATGGCTGCGCGCAACGCGTTCGCCCGTCGCAACTTGCCCGCTGACGAATTCTTAAACAGGAGCAGAAGAAATTACTTCAGCTCTCACGAGAAAAAACCACCCGTTAGTGAGGACTATGAGCCGACGGGCACCTCCTCTTCGGCTCGATGCATGCTGTTCATCGGCCGAGAAGACGCGTCAAGGGGATCATGGGGTTTCATCATCGAGATCAACAAACCGCATACCTGGTTTTGAGCGATGAATGCCAGTTATGGAAGCTGTCATTCTCGGGATGCATCAGACTGATCTCACGTCGAGGCAATCCAAGTGGCCCTTTCAAAACCAGTAATAGCTATTAGAACAAAAGCTAGATGGAGGTTCTGCAATTAGTTGAATCATAGCCGCACATCACCCTTTTTGCGAGAAGTAGTCAAAGCCCATCATGAAACACCTAGCTAACTTTGAGCGATCAATTACTCCTCGTGGCACTAAAGTTTCCAGGATTACTGATAAGGTCTTTAAGACTAAGTGATTACAACATAAGCATATTATGAGTTCTCAATGGGTGAGTGCAAAAGTAAGAACGCCTCATTCAGAAACTCTGGAGAACTTTCATGGGATGATGATTACTAGAAACATCATTCTGGAGTGTCATCATTCTCATACAAGTCGGAGTACGAGTAAAATGAAAAACACAGTCTCGGGGGTGTGGATGAGTCCTTTGTTGTAACGCATTTCTAGTCTTGGGGGCATCTGCGAAAGGCACATATCAGAGTCTCAAGAAGCTATCTGATTAGTTACTGGCCATGGCTAAGATCTATAGTTTACCTAACCTTTTGTCCTTGATAATGTTGAATACCACGGCTTGTACTGATTGATTATGGGAGTGCTTGTTTGTTCAGAATATGAACATTTGACACTTTCCAGCATGGAAATCACGCATTTCATGGCACTTGCGTACATGTTCAACATGAGTGTCACTTGTAGTACCTCAACTTAAGTTGAGAAGCTGTATTCAAGGCGTTCATCTCAGCGTAGACTTGATTTGACACTCGCAAGCTGTTATAATCTCTGTATTTGAAGCTTGGAAACAGCTCAAAGGCTTGCCTATGGTCTAGGATATACCTACCCAACACCACGCTGTTGTGGTGCAGGGTTCAACTACCTAACCCCTTCAAGGATTTAGCCTTGAAAAGGGCCGAACCAGCCCTGCAACTAAATGGGGTGGTGATGGAATCTGCGCCGGCAGACGACTAGTCCATACTACGGCACAAAAGTAACATGATCCGTGTAGACATTGCTCGCCTCTTGTCAAGTGCGTTGACTCCAAAGTCGACTGATCCGTTTGCCTAAGTTCTGGCACAAAGTGTAGCAATTTACCCTCGCTTTACCTATCAGAAAGTGACAACACATGGGGCATTGGCTAGAATGACAACACGAGAGAGTGTCCTGTAGATGTACACTCTCATTGAGCCAGTGATAGCGATATTAATCGAAAACCTGCTCTTCCTAACTGACAGAGGTGAGAAACCTGAATTTGCGAAGCTTTTATATCCAAACTGAGGCACGAAGCTCATGATAAACATACACCAGCTTAGCGTCTCTCGTAGTACCATACCATAAAAAGACGTAAATTCTTATATAAAATTCAAAGTTAAAGAAGCGATTGAAAGCTAGAGTTTTCAAGGCTTTGATCTCGAGGTAGATTCTAGAACTGGACTCAATCATATGCAACAATGGCCATAACTTTCCACTAGATGACTCCTATACCCGTAGTTGCATCTCTTTGGCGAATACTTCCGATAATCTCAACCATATATCCATGATAGACTCCCATTGTATGCAGTATTATAAACCATGCGGGAGTAATAAATAATCGGCTAGGGGCTGATGTGTATCAAACACGTGCGGAGCCATGCAATCGCACGTATCACACTCCTGCTGGCAATAGGGGCGAGACGAAGGTCTAGCATCACGGAGAGTATGAATCTTTCTCATAGGCTACACACTCTAAGAGCTCAGAGTAGACGTTAAATCACAATCGCTGCGTTGAAGTTGACTCGCCTGGCGCAGTCTAGTTGCGATGGAAAATCGAGTTGTCATTGTTCAGCTATGGCTAAATCACCGTCAAATTTAAACCCAACCTTTCCAAAGAGAAGTACACTGGGGAAGGGCTCCCGGGTTGCCCTCATAGAATATGATCGCTGCCTGCTACGTAGATGTGGCCCGTCAGGCTGGAGTAAAAAGAAGCACCAAGCCTGTCTACTTTATTTTGCGTTGCAGATGAGAGCGCAAAGAGTGTCTAGAGAACGAGTGATACGTCAGTATTTCGTTCATTTTTCGAAAAATAGAGTCGCAAATGGCTTACTGCACTCAGCCTCGCTGGGCCTAGGACATGTTCGCTGGCAGTCCTCGCAAGCACCCGCCATAGCGGATGCAGCGTATGTAGCTAGAATAGCGAAAACGATCTGGAAACGCATCGTGGTAGATTAGATTGAAACGGTCAACGTTCTCGGTAAAGAGTACAGAAGTGATATATAGTTGTGGTGTTTGGCTCTGATGATGGGATAGAAAGACGAGATGTTGTGAGTAGTTCGAGGAGGTCAGACTGCATTTATGCCTGTAACAGTTCATTTTACGGAATCAAAAGGCAACCAACAAATGCTGACGAGTCAGGTAATAAGAATCCTCAGGTTTGAGCTCGTTTGATACTCGCGGTCGCCAACCACTTGGCAAAGACTTCCATACTTTGTACACAGTGGTGCATCTGACATTCTGTTGAATGAGCCACACATGCTTCATATCTACTCATCTTTCTATATACAGTGCCGCCGCTGCTCGGAACTGGAGACTTTTCCTCGCAACTCTCGTAGGAGGGGGGCAGGCTTACGTAGAATCTCTCGATGTCATAAGATGCAGGAACAGCTCATAAGTATACATCAAATCGGATCACTCAAACCTTTGACAGCGCTCGCATGGGCAAAATGTTATGGTACGAATTATTGTCACGGTGCATCGACTGTGTTCATTCCATGGCAACTTTCAGACTTCAACTCAGCATTACTGTGGCTTCTACGGCGATCCGGAGAAGTCCGCCGGTAAAGACGGGCAGTTTTTCTCTTCCAAAACCACGCTTGGCATGGAGATTCCCTGTCACCTGATGTAAGGACCCATCAGCTTCCCCAAGAGTATCACTTGAACTTAGCCGTCCGAAACCATTTCTTGTAACAAGGACAGAACTCTAACCTTTAGTTCAGATTCAGATGTGGGCGGCTACGAACACTGTCAGATTCTACGAGGCGCGTCAATCTCAACGCGATTGCGAGGGCAAGTCTCATCGCCATTCTTGCAGGTGCAAGGGTTTCCACGCTTGTAAACTTGGGTTGGTCAAGAAGTCGCCGGCTGAGTATCTATGCCTTGTTGCTTGACGTCAGAGCTTTCACACGTGCACGGATGCATGCATGTAGTGCCCGACCGTGGATAGCAACGTAGCCGGGAGCTCTATCCCATTATATAGATTTCAGTACTCAGACCTATATAGGGTATTCCCACGTCTGCTTTGTTTGGTGGTCCAAAGTTGTCCAATGCCCCCAAGGCGAAGACCTGGCTTCGTTTTCCGCCAACTCGCTAATTTCGGTTCATGTAGCATTCACACACCCACTGGCCCGCGCTTAGCCGTATCCCATTGACATATCGAAAGCACTTGACTCTCCAAAGGCAACATCGCCATCGTCCCAAAGAAGACTCAGCATCAAGTCTTCCCCGCCAGATGCGGTTGGGTCAAAAGACAAAAAGTCTTGTCGATCACCTAAGTCTACAATAGCATCACCTGCTCTTTCAGATCGTTCTGGAATTCTGCCATGCTCGATGCTTTCGCGCAGCTGCGACGCCTCTCCCTGTCTATGAGTCTCAGGACTCTCCGCTAAATTGAATGATAAAAGTCTTTCAACGTATGGGGCACCCGCATGGTGTTGCTCGACCGGCGAATTGGTCTTGAAGGAGTCGATGGCTTGTGAAAAACTTGTGAGAAGCCGGTGATATTGTGCTGCTTGAGGACTCAAATGACCCAGAAAGTCCAGAACACGTAGGGCGCTATGGAAAGACTTTCCACGGTTTTGGGGTACGTCAGGGGCGAGTAGTGAGAAGCCAAGGACAAGACCGGCGGCAAATAACCAAGCCCTGAATCAAACATTAGTAACACGCATATTTGGACAAGATCAAAAGGGCTTACTTCAGTATGCACATGTTGCCCATGATTGTGCGCGAGTCCAGAGCGTCAGCACACATCTCAGCCATGAACACAGCAGCATCCACACAGGCATCAGATAGTTCAGCAACACTCTTCTCATCTTCTCCCCCTCCTTCATCATCGTGGTCGTCCATGAGTGACGTGTCTTTGTTGATTCGCGGCATGATATGGTGGATTAAAAACTCGCGAGTTGTCAGGATAATGCCAAAGTAGTAGGTACATGCGACGTGGATATTTCCAATAGCTATCTCTCGGTTTTGAGAATGATGAGAGTGGGCGGTTCCTCTCTTTGGACGTTGGCGCAAAGCTGTTGGCAGGTCCTTACTCCAGTGTCTAATTTCATCGAGGAATTGTTGTGCTCTGATCATGCCCAACTCAGATTCTTCTGTTAGAGTGTCGACGATCCTGTTCAGAATTGTGGCAAATGTGCATGCCGCGTCTACTGACAGATTTCGATGTCGGTTCTCATGAAGCTTTACGCTTCGTCTCAGTCGGCAAGGTGCTACACTTGTTGGTCTTCCGAGGATTGAGCTACACACAACGTCAAAAAGTCGTATGCTCTTATCGACCCGAGACCTTGGTGGTACGTCAGCTTCTAATTTGATTCTTTGTATGGACGAAAAAGAAGTTAAGAGACATGAAGGGGATAATATCGTACCTCAGACTTCGTTCGCTCTCCGAAAGAGACTGAAACTGCTCTGCCATGTGCAAGCCCATAACCGACGCCGCCTTTGTGGCAACCCCAAGGTACATAAACGCAGAGTTGCGACGACAAGCGCCAAACATATAGAAGGCCATTAACACAAAGCCGCGAGCGGTGTTCAGTGTGGGATCGCTCAACATTCCTTCGAACGCCAGCTTGCGTGCTTCTGAGAAGTAACGAAAGGCTTTGGGTGCATCTCCTATCTGACCACGACATTGGGCACCAATCGCAACCATCATGTAGAGGCACAGAAGCCTCCCTGAATTGAAAGTAGAGTTGGACCTTTGAGACTCCGTACACGGTTCCTGGGCCAGAATGATAAGTTCTTCGATATCTGATTCATCGAACAAATCAAGGAGTCCACTAGACTGCGGCTTCGTCAATTCCACACTCAGTTAAACAAGTCATGAGAGCTTCCACTCACGGCGTCAAGGTAGCGCTGAACCAGGGTTTTTCTCTCAGCGTTTTCAATGTCATCTGAGAAGTCATCGGTCTGCTGCACAGGAACTTGTGCCTCGAACATGCGGTGACATCCCTGACTAATCGTGAACCCTGGACCAAGGATACGCAAGCTTCCTCGCAGGTATTGTAAGAACGCAATGGCTGAGGCATTTCCGACGAATACTTTGGATTTCGAACTATTAGCTCAGTGTGGAACGCCTTAGGACGCCTCAATATCGTCGCTGAAGCGGCGCTCGATATGGAAATCGTACCTTTTTCTCCACTACAGGTGTACATCATCACCGGGCGCGGACCAGGCGGCGTAACCGTCTTGCCGGACGTTGACGAGGCTGCGGTCTCGTTCTCATCTTGCAAAGATGATTCTTGCCGTTGATAGAGTAAAGGGGACACCTGATCACGCTGCCGAGTCCCTGAAGCGGCCGAAGATTGATTCGGCGGTGCGCGACGAGCCCTGACATGTTGAGAATAGGTGCAGGACGAGCCTACTCCGCGTTTGACGCATGGTCGACATGGCTGGGCTGCGTCGCATCGCTTCTTGGTCGCTCGGCACGCCGTGCAGGCCCTGGTGGACCTTTTTCGGTCTTCGGGGCGTACCGGCGGCCGGGGCATGGCGTGGAGTTTGTGTAGTGCGGTGCCTTGTATACGGCGGCCGAAAATTGCGGGTCTACCGAAGAGGCGGCACTGAATGCAGGTTGCGGGCCGACGATGCAAGGTGCAATTGCCGCCAATTCACATCAGATGGACATGGAGCGATTTCACCGGGTTGTAAATCAGCATGTTTCGATCATGCTACGAAAGGTCGCACTGCTTCTCAAACCCACGAGGCCCCGTCATTGAGTAAGCAGATAAGCATCGTAAACATCATTGGAGTTGAGATAGGCTTATCAAGGTAATTCCCCAGATTGTCAATTACAATCAGCGGCCAATTGGTAGGGCAAAGTGAGACCCCATGAATGTGAGCGGTGCTCGGCCCGCACACTTATCGTTGAGCAACACGTAAGTCCGTAGGTCCGTAAGTCCGAGATCTACTTCTGTACTGTGTACGGAAGTTCCGCCTCCACTAACCAATCGAATCCTCTATCTAGTCAGCAGTTAAAACAGAAACTCGGAATACCGTCATGATATGAGCACTAGCTTATAATGACTCGGCCGGAGCTCATCCCGTGCCGTGTGGTGCACTTAGTATGAGTTGCTATCTTAATGTAAAGTGTCTCATGTTATAAGTTCTCAAACTTTCCCAGTCCACCGAAAGTGCTCCAAACTTGAAATCGCGCCGATATAGAAGAGTATACCGCGACGGCACTATGTACGCAGACATCAGCAAACCCCCAGCTCCCCTTCCCCAGTCAGAATTGCAGACGATTGGAAGCGGTATTTCAACACTGTCACCTCTTTCTCGCCGAGGGGTTGGGCCAGGACTCATTCTTCTTGTCCCTTCAGTCGACAATGCGCTAGCAATTGAGGAAGGCGTCCCCGCACTGCCCCTGAAATGGGCTGAGGAGGGGTACACGGTCATTGCCATTCAGCCAACAGCGTTCGAGAGCGGTGCACGCGAGACTCTAGATCTTGCCATCCAAACATTCCGCAACAGTGATAAATGCGACCCAAAAAACGTGGTAGGTCTTGTTGGTAAGTTGCAGTCTCCGTTACGGATTTTGTACATCGCTAAGTGAGATGCACCAGCATACGAGCCAGAAATGTGGAATACAGTTGCGCCGATTCTATCTGAATTCCCAGAGATCGTGAGTACCGTGGTGTACGCAGATAGCTCAGAGAGGTCTTCGATCTCTAGTAGCATTTCACCCTCAGTCTATCACTTTGCTGGAAAATCCGAAGGGCAGCCCTTGCGGTCAAAGGGTCGAACAGAATACTTTTACCCAGCAGCCAAATCCTTCAAATTCGCGACACCGTTCCAGCCGCACTTCGACTACAACATGGATATGCTCTCATACACTCGCAACCTGACTTTGCTGAAAGGCGAAATGAAAAGCCCTATTTTCGACTTGGAGGCTATCTGGGACGAGCATACTTGGTACGAGTTCGCCGATAGATCTGTGGAGCACACAATGAGCACAATGGTGCAGGAACCATATGTCAATCACATCCCAACGGTAAGGGAAAAGCCGATCGTGCAAAACGAAACAAAAGAACACACTTTCTAACGTTTAATTATTCAGTTGACCGGTGGCGTTGGTCGCGGCAAGCTTACTGACTTTTATCGTCACAATTTCATCTTCAATAATTCAGCGGACACGGAATTGGAGCTTATTAGTCGGACCATTGGCATCGATCGTGTAGTCGATGAATTCATTTTCAAGTTCACACACGACCAGGAGCTTGACTGGCTGTAAGTATAAGCACTTTCGGTACTTGATGTAAGGACGTGCACTGACAAAGTGACTAGCTTGCCAGGCGTTCCGCCAACCAACAAGTACGCGGAAATCCCGTTTGCTGCGGTTGTCAACATCCGAGGTGATCGCCTGTATCACGAGCATATAAGCTGGGATCAAGGTACAGCCTTGGCTCAATTGGGCCTCCTTCCGGAGTACCTCCCTTTCCCAGGGGGTAATCTCCAGTACAAGGTTCCCGTTGCAGGCGTAGAGACAGCCATGAAGTTGAGAGCACGAAATTCTGTTCCGTCAAACGAGATGTTCAAGTTCACAACTCGCCCCGCAAACAGCGAAGGAGTGAATCCAGAGAAAGTGGTTCCGGCTGTAGCCGAAAACGGTGTGGCAACAGTTGCAAATTAACGGAGGATGATGCTTGTTGTAGGATTGGTCCAATGAGGTATTACCATTATGTGTAGTTGAAGTTCTATGGGCTTAATACCATACCCGATGTACCGTAATCCTCATGTTGAATACCTACCTGCGACGCGAGACTAAGGTATACATGCTCATCTGTTGTTTGGGGTATCTAAATATGTGATAGGCTCACCCTTCTACCTTTTTGACCCATTGCCTTGTACCGTAGACAGAGAAACGCGGTGACCACATCTACGAAGGCTGGCAGTTCTTCATCCACAGCCCTTGAAAGCACGCATTTGATTCTCCTGCTTGTACTTTAGGCTTGACGAAACCACAAGCCCGGCATTCCATTTTGCAATTCTTCCGCAACTTCAACAAGCAAGTATTCCTCCAAAGTCCCTTTCTCTCAACACGTGCCTGTTGAACTGCGGCAGAATGGCATGCAAGCTCTGGATTAGAAGCTCTAGCATCTTTGACGAGTTGGATGATTTTCTCGATAAGTTCGTCGTATTCGTCATGCGATATCTTTGTGGTGAACTCTCTCTGGCGCACAGCTGCAACCAGGTATTGTACAAAGCGAATAAATTCGGGCCCCTGTTTAACAGTTCCTTGCGGCATGAGATTACCGTCAATGAGTTTCCTCCAGGTGAGATCCCAAGATCTGTCAAAAACGGATTCGTCGTCTCTTTTGCGGCGCTCCTTTTCCCACTCGGCTTTGCTCCATACCCCGCATGGCTTATTGCTGGGCACTGGAAGACTAAGGTCTTTGATGATACTGTCGGCCAAGTCGCTATATTTCAAGCGGAATTTGATCATGGAAGCAATGTCCATGCCGTCAGTTGAGGCCTTTTCCGACTCAATTGTGTCAAGGAGGGAGTCCTGAATGTAAGCGCCATGTCCGCTATACCAGTCTCCAGGCCAGAGTTCAACAAAAAGTCTGGACATTTCCACGACTCTTTCGCGGCATGAAGAGCATGTTGTCAAGGTCTGTTCGTCCTCGCGGCCGTTGAATGTGCAAGTGAAATGCAAGTGCACTTGGTCGCATTCAACTTCGACAAGTTCGTTCAGTCTCGCCACCGCCTCGTAGTATTTTGACACTAGCATCGTATCGTCACTAGACAAATCGATGAGGGAAAAGGCTTCGAGCATCATCTTGTATCTTCTTGGTGTGGTTTTTGTGTCAAGGAAGCTGATGTGTTCTGAATCTAATGGGCTTTCTCGAACCAAAGTTTGTACTACTTGGGGAGGTATGCAGACTTGGTACATATATGTGCCTTAGCTACTGAGCTTTCTCCGAAACTTGGCTCCCTTCTGGAGACCTTGACTTTGAGGCTACATCAACTTCTGCGGCCTAGGCCGTTGAGACTTTTGCTTAAATAATCAAATTGAGTCTGTCCTGGATTTGTGGAACCATGAACACCCTTTTGACAGCGCTTGTGAACCTGTTTTTGATGCCATCCACTTTTGGATATGATGGTACCATGGATTGTTTGGTTTCTGCCGGAGTGACAATATTGCGTACTTATCTAATGCCATCTTTGGCGCAACGCCACTCCATCAGGGTTTCGTAGTTATCAGGGTCTAACGTCGCTTTCGTGAAGAGGACCTATCGGCTTCATGATACCCCAACGGCCGCGATAGCTTCTCCCCTACACTGGCGCGTGGTGATATCTGCCCCTCCCCCTCCCCCCACCGCATAATTGAATCCTGAATCTCTCCAATCTTCTGGCTTTCAAGTCATTGTTTCGAAAACTTCTTCAAACTCCCTTCGGGTTTCAATTGCAGATGTTTGGGACTTTTACTACCAATACGGCGATTTACCTCTCGTGTGTCTTATACCGGCGATCGAAGCGATCATATGCATCCGTAGCATGCCGACCTATTACGAAACTTCAGAGGAGCTACGCCCAGAGCTCGAGGCAATCCGGGACTCGATTGATGAAGCGCTGCGAGCATTTCAACCATCTTTCTCTCGCGCCAAAACCGCCGAAACCCTACGGACAGATGCAGCAAGAATCAAAACGAGCCTCAAAGAACTGCAAAGTCTTTGGAACGGTCGAGAAATGAACCAATATTGGATTGCAATATGGACCTTGGTCAAGAAGATCATCACCAAAAAGATAATTCTATCTGAGAAAAATGCCGAAAGAGCTTTGAATGAAATCACGGCAAGTACACCCCTCCGACCCCTTCCACACCTGAACTACCTGATCTCTACTCACCACAAGTTATGCTGAGGAATCCGTGGTTCTTCCAAAACATCCATGTCAAGGAGTACTTAGCTAACGCTGGTGTTCAAGCGTAAATATACACATCCTTACTCCAGACACAAATTAGCATATGGCCTCAGTTCGAAGATCATGAAGAAGATCTCAAACGCATTGGTAGATTCCTGGGAGAATCCCGAGGATTTAACACATGTTGAGTTTTTCTACATACTCACCTGGATTTCCAATACCATTGGCAAGGAAAAGTCAGCATGGTTTGCGATCGAGGATGTCGAATGGTCCAACATGGTCACTTGCAGCTACATGGACATCAGAGAATATATTGCTCGACAACCTTTCAGTCTTCCTACTGCTATTACTCCTATGGATCGGCTAGCCCTATACTATATCGTTCCCGAGTCAAAAGATATCCTCCAACAAATCATCCCAAAACTAGTTGGTTTCATGGACCATGATATTTTCAAACAAGAAGATGTGGCTCGCGAGATCTACGATTTGGGTTTTCTTCCGGCGCCTATCTCCGCAAAGGACGTACCAGAAGCGGCCAGGCGCCGAGCCAAGATGACTGATCCGCATTTGAAGAAGGTTGTAGGATCAGCGATGATTCGGGGTTTGCTTCGAAGATGGATTGAAGCTGACCCCAATCCGGTTAGTATTCTTAAGCTGACCCAGGTCCGGGTGGAAGATCTTTGCAGCACGCTAGAAGATGAAGTTCTCTCATTAAGGGACTAAGGAACATGTAAGAGAATTCAACGCTGCGTGTGGCTGGAAGCTGGACGCTCAGCTGTGACGGGCTCGAATAACTATTATTGTGTAAAAGTTGGGAAAGTTCACAGGCGAACAGCAGAAGAACAGTCCACAAAACTACGGACACAATCTTCGCGAGGGCAAAGGGGTTATACGGCTCGAATAGAAGCAGCTGAAAGCCTAGTGAGGCTTCGCTGTTATCTGGAGCCTTTCACAACCGATGACCGTCAGGCTGGCCGCAGATAGCGCTGGGTCGAGTTGCTTCCCCAGTCAATAAGGCAACGATAGAAACGCATTAAGTACCCTGATGAGTTAGTAATAGCGGTGATATGCTCATCATAAGTTTATTATACCATGCGGTTCATACGATCCATCTGGTCCATCTCGTAGCTCCCATTATGCCCTTCAACATCGCTCCTCGTATCATACTGCACAACGATTTCGTTTGTCCTGACGATCTTGCCAAACCCGGGTTCCGACTCGACCCCAAGTATGCTTTTATCGCTCCGATCATCGGCGAGCTTGTCCCATTTCCTCCTAATAGAACCCTTTCGTGTTGTCGAAGTTGTTACAGTTACTGTGTTGGTACGCGTGAGGCCTCCGCCGAATCGAGACCCATTGGTACGGGTGGCTGAGTTGCCGTAGTACTTGCGAGCAGTACTTGCAACGTCGCGGATGAGGACACGGAGGACAGGTATGGAGGCCGCCATGATCGTTACACCTGATTCCACGGTTCCCCAAATGACGAGGTCGCTACCGTCATCTTCAAGAGAAAGTCAGTCTAGTCTCTTGTATCGCCGCCTCTCGGTACCTTGTTGCTTACATGTAAAGTCTCCAGAAAGCAGAGTAGGAATCGTCGTGCACTTGACAATCGAGGTCCCGCCAGCGCTAGTTGCCAGGTTAGATGAAGCAGTGTAACACAGCCCAAAGGACTAGACCTACAATAGTCCCATACTCATGGCAATGCCGACACCAATCTTCTCTTTCATCTTCATTTGAAGTCCCCATATCAATTTCCATGGGAGCATGGCGAGCAGTATGTCCATTAGAGCAGAATATCCTGTCAGGTGTTAGAAAAAGAATTTGTTTGAGCAACTGTTGTCAAGCCATACCTGCAGCAAATACCCCGTAGTAAGCTGCTACCTTCGGACTCCAGCACTTTCCTGGTGTTTGGGGAAGCCAGTACTTTTCGATCGGGGTACACTGCACCCAAGCAGCCATAGCGTTGAGGCCCATAAGGACGTTCATCGATATAATCGCACCCCATATCAAGTTTCTTGTCCAACCTTTCTCCTCGATTCGGAGTAAAGTCATCGCGAAGGATGTTTTGCTCCACACCGCCGATGTAATCGATATCGTACTGATGACATTGCCGTTCAAGCCGATCTGAGGGAAGTTTACTGGATTGATTTGGTACACATGTTTGCCGAAGCCGAGGGACACGTTCCACGTTGTTAATGCTGATGCAATCATCAAGGTGACCTAACACAATATTGTCGTCAGTAAGAGGGTCCTGACATATGGTGCAGAGACTGAACGAACCCAAGATGCTATGAGAACATGGTCGTCCCACCAGAGTCCACTGCGTTTCTTAAATTTGCAGTATAACCGTAGGCACAGAAAGAATAGCGACGCTCCAACCTGAGACCAGATAACCGCGTTGATCGTCTGGCCATAGTCCTCCGGCCGCCCCATTTGACCGGCCAAAAGGGGTTACTTCCTTCGCCCAAGCGATGTTCGGATGTCGAAGAAGGCTCAAGACACAGACCAGCCGTTGCGCGTTTGATGACGTCGAGAAAAGGCAAAAAGAATATCAAAGAGCAGCCGGGCAACTCGCGGCGGGTATCACAAACTAAAGAGGCACAAGAAAGAAGCTGAGAAAGGAAAGGACATAAAACGCGCATCCACTCGGAGTGTGGGGGATGACAACTGAGATATGACATCGCAACACCTCCTCTCCACCCTCTCAGCCTAGTTCATTACCTACAGATAGCCAATGCACCCGGCACTACGGGGAAAGGGCTAGGCTCCCTGCGAGTATGCAGGTGCCGACGATCGACTTGTAAGGATGAGACGATGATCACGCAAAGGTGTTGGCGCGCTGTAGGGTTCTCCCTAGTTTCAGATGGTGAACCCGGGGCAGATTGATGGCCTTCTAGAAGAATGGAAGAAGATCTCGTCGTTGCGTCCAGTCTCGACAGCGCTGCTTGTGTCAGGAAAGCGGAGCCATCTAGCTGGGAGTGACAGATTCCGGACTACCATTATCGAACAATCGTAGCGTGGCATCATATCATTGTGCCTGTGTCCACGTTGTGGGGGGATGAACGAGCCAAGCAAGAGCAATGACTCGAAGTCAAACTGATCTTGGCTGGGTTTTGTGCTCATGCTTTGCTGACAATTTTGCCGCTTGACCGTATGCTGGGTAATTTCTGCGACTTGTCAGAGAGATTGCAAATACGATTCCTTCTGTCTCGTGGCTCTTGACTGTGCCCGTTGAGATCGAAGAACATTATTCGGTGATGTGAGGTTGAGTTCGCCGTGGGTCAAGGGGACCCAGATTGAACAGCTCGCGCTCGGTTTTGAGCAGCCTGCGCCTCGCGTCTCTGTTAAACTAACATTGCAAGGATAGATGAGTCGATAACCCTGCTTTAGCGTCGAAGTCAAAAAACTAAATTGCTTAGGTCACATTCCGGTTCAGCTGGGAAAACAAGCGAGAATTGGAGATGTATTAGACGAGATGGCACTCCCAACGCCTTTCCGCAGGAACGCTGCACGGGAGGAATCTCATCAACGGCTTGGTTTGCCGGCACGGCAATTCGCGACAATTCCAAACACGAGCGGAGAGAGAAAATCTGCCGTCCGTCTCGTCCCTCTGGTTTTCTGACAGAATTCTCTCTGCCCTCATCCTACCTTCTTCAACGGGCAGTTCAAGATCTGTGCAAGGATGTGGCCCGAGTCAGGTAGGTAAGAAAGCGGCAAATCATCCGCGGCCCCGAGTCCGGGTCAGCTGGCAGGGCGCATGGCGGATGTCGTCTCAGATTGTCAATGCAGACAGGGGAAAACTCTGCTCATTGGGAGGCTCAGCAAATCGCCAAGGCGATGCACAACTGGGCTAATCGTGAGGTAGGGCTGGGCGTTGAACATGGTTCCCGGCTGATGCGTTTCGCCTGATGTATTTCGTCACCGAATCTATTTCAGGGTAAACGGGTGGGTTCCAGTTCTTCGGTATGGCCGTTCTTTTAAGTACAGGCAACTTGCTTGTGTGCTCGCATTTGATTTCGCATTCCGTTCCTGTGTCGTGAGTGACACTTACTGATTTAGGAGCGCTGGCCTAAACCATATTGCCATTAGACTCGGCGAAATCACTGCCAGAGAGAATAGTACCGCATACTGCAATCGGACTTCAACTACAGACACGTTCCAATAAGGCAACAAGTAACGTAGGTGAACATGAGCGTTAGATGTTGAAGGCTATCTACTAATGCATGTCACTGGCTTATCCCATGTGGGTACCGTTAACTTGTTGCGCATCTAGAGAAGTAATTGTGGAAAGACTTTAAAGCAGTGTCTTGACAGTGGAGTATCAACTAGACTTATGCAAGGAGGCAATGGCTGAAACAGCTCGCGGTTTCCATCGTTTCTTCACGCAAGTACGCTAGTTCGTAGTATCACTATCAACTTGGGTTCCGGTGTTGGGTTTGTGACTTCCCTTGGTCTGGATATGGGCAAGCATCCCGTGTTGAGCCATTCATTCTCTTATCGAGCATCGGTCGCTTTTGCAGCAAACATGATGGACTTAGCAGACTGAACATGGCATATTCACTCTCCATTCGTCTCCTTGTTGAATCGGGCATTTCTCATCCACCGAAACTCAAAGACAACAATAATACGAGATCATCTGTCACACCTTAAACCCTGACCATTGTTGTATTGAACACCCAAGACATACTCAAAGCACTCTCTTCAGTTCGATTACAAACCAACACTACTGTCAAGCAATTCGGAGATGCGAACACTCTGGCGTCTTGGCGACATCGAAATCTCTGGAATCAAATTCTTGCTCGTCAACTTGGTAGGTTTTGAGCTACTCCCGCGCATTTTATTTGCATACAACATGTAAATTTAGAGACAACTTGAAAGCGCCAATACATAAGAATCAAACCCCCTTCGTCTCCTTGCACGCATTGACAGGCTTACGACATGAAGACCTTTGCAAAACGCTGTCGACATGGAGTTGATGGGCGTACTGTTCAAAGTTATAGATGGAATCCGATTAGCTAAGAGCCCCGAGCCCCCTTGGTATTCCACTTTGAGATTCGAGTATATGAGATTAACGAGAAGATGATAGTGTCAAAAATCTGTTGTAGCTCCAACATGGCACTTATGAATGGACAATGTCGAGGTTTGGCAGAGATATTCGATTACCTTGGCAGCGTTTCCCTTCTAATTGCCTCACTTCAGCCCTTACGATTGCCTGCAACCATTCCTGTTGACCTCATAAAACTTTTTATAGATTTATGTGCTCTCGATAGAAGTCATTAGTATGGAACTTACATAGTTCGTGCAATAGATTTGGATGGAAGAAAGGGTTCCGTGAGCATTGTGTAAAAACGTCCTGCTTGCATGTAAGTCAACATACCCACTTCCTGGCACCCCCCTGTTTCTGGCACCACAAAAACGATGGGATCACAACCCAACCTCCTCATTACTATTAACTATTGATCCTCAACCACACCCACTAAAATACAGCTGCCAGCCTCACTAGGGCATTCAGAGTCGCTGGATTCAGCCGTGATAACCTCCTTTTCACCCGCTTCGATTTGAGCCCGATGGATATCCCTGATGTTCGCGAACTTCGTATTGGGATCG